TAGACCCTCCAAATGATACGTCTAGCTACAATGTGAATCCTCCTATACTTCGCAGCATTCTTTATCGTCCATAGGTACCAAAATATCAGTAGAGGAATGATAATGCGAATGTGTTCACAATGAACATAATGTCCAGAATACATACATCTCTAGAATCTCTGTCTAAATCCCTCTCCTGAACTCATAGGTATCTGAAAAATATCCCCAAAATGCTGCCATATCTTATTAGAGATGTTACTGCCAGTGAAAATATGATGAATAGTCTCTGTCTCGGAACAACACTGACAGCGAGAAGCCAACTGGCATCCAATCCTCCTATGAATAACCACATCTAATGGAATGAGGTCCTGCCATAGTCTCCAGCAGAAGAATGAGACAGTGATGGGTAAAACGGAGCTCCATAGTAATCGGTGTGTATCCTGATATTGACATCCCGAACGTACGAGTTGCCATGCGGACTTAGTAGCAAAGCTACCATCCGATGTATTTCACCGAACAATTCGATTTGGGGCATCTACACATAAAGGTATAGCCCTTATCTGCTCCGCCATAAGAGAATGGAGAACCAGTAATAAACGTCCAATATCCCATCCAATATCATCAAAGAAATCCTGCACCCTCGCAGATGTGTGCTGCCGGTGTGGGAATATGGATGCCAATGTGGTCTCACCCATCCAACAATCATGCAAAAGGAAAATTTAACCTACACCCAGGTGCCATGCAATGTATGGCTCTGTCAGGGGCCTGACTAATTTCAGTATCTTCCAGATAGGAGAATCTGAGTAAAGAACTGCTGCAAATAAATGGTGTGTCCTCGTACAATATTTGCCCTGTAAAAACTGGGCCCAAAAAGATCTATTAGAATGAAACAACCACCAGAGCTTCATGAAAAAGGTGTCCACCACATCCTGTAATTAGTGAAGGATGAATCCCCATACGATACTTACCCAGTAAAAACTTTACACAAAGTGATCTCTGAGAACGAAACAACCTCCAGAGCTTCATGGAGAAGGTGTCCACCACATCCTGTAATCTCCTAAAGCCTAGACCACCCTCATTAGTAGGAAGACAAATCTCCTTCCAGCTCCGCCAATGTAAACGTCACGCCTGTTCTTTGGAATCCCACAGGAATCGTGCAAAGATGCTCTCAAGTTTCTTCAAGATAGCTTTAGAGGGTTGCATGATCTAAAGAATGTGTAATGGCATGGAGGAGAGAACTGATCTCAGCAAAGTAATACGGCCCCCATATGATAGAAGTCAGGAAGCTCAACCTAAGATCATGTTCCTGAACTTGTGGATAAGGTCATCATAAATGAAGCTCCTCTTGGCCCCCTTAAATAAGAGGACTCCCAGATACGTGAACGACTGCTGCTGGTGTCAAAAACCAGTCAAAATCTCTAATCGTCTTATCTGACTAATAAATGTCCATTTGGGTAGTATAAGTCCGCTCTTGTCCCTATTGACTAACTGACCAAAGACCCCCTCATAATGCTCTAGACAACCAAGAATCCTCCTGATAGATTGTTTCTGGCCGTTGGCGAATCTGATCATATCATCAGCAAATGAAGACAAGAGTACTACATCCA